GACTCTGAGCAGGGCACAGAGAGACTGGTTGGCCACGAGGTGGCGCCTGAGCCTTGGATCAGTGGGGAGGAGACAAGGGAGAGGGATCCAGAAACCAACAGTCAGTTGTTCCAGGATGCACGCCGGCGAAGGGCTACTCGGCGTCAAGAACAACTACGTAATTACAGGAGGTAATTACGCTCAGCTGATGGTCATTAGGCTTCCTCTCCAGACTATAAAAAAGACTGCTGGTGCCACACCCTTCTTGCAGAAGTCAACGCTTTGACTAAAGAGAAACTAACTTGGCAGGCTGGATTGCTGCCAGAGTTTGTCTGAATTGCTGCCAAGGTTTGTTGGACTTGCTGCCAAGGTCCTTATCTGTTTGTTTACTTGATTCTGGTCTTGTTATTAAAGGGCATTTTACGCTTGTCTCGGCTTTCATTACTGGACGGAGGATGGGGTCCGAACATGTTACTTACTGTAGTTTGGTAACAAAACATCTGCAAGAAAATCACCAAACTCGGATAGCACCAAAGACCCTGCAGTTAAACCTTGAGCTATAAATATTCTCTCAGTATTTCTGTGTATTTGTTCTCTATGCTAAAAAGGAAAACCATTTCAATTCTTAATATGTATGTTTATATGTGTGTGCATAAATAAGTATGTGTATGTATACATGTATATTCTCACACACACAAACTTATACTGCGGTGGAATATAACCTGGATTCCCAAAATAGCAAGTGACAGCAAGGTTTAGACAGTTTGGTTGAGAGAAAAAGAATCAGGATAGCTTCTCCATAAAAGGAGGATTCTGAATATATCTTTAATGATGCATGTAATTGTTTAGTTTGGCAAGATTTCTATCCATAGGTGAGGAACAATAAAGGAAACTGCTTAGAAGTAACTCCATACTGTTTTTCTTGGTTTTGAGTATCACATATTCAGACACTCATAAACTAAAGCATCCATGACTGGTTGGGTATTTTTCAGAAATATTTCCTTACCCCTAACAAAGAAACAATGTGACCATGGATGGCAAAAAATCCGTGGGAGATCAGTGGAGTAGATTTGGACAAATCCAACTGACTTCCTTAATATTAACAACTTAATATGTAAACTTAATAAAATGAAAATAAAGACCAAAATCTAAAAAAACATCCGTCTATATGGTTAAAGAATTCCTCACTTTTCATTCTACTCACAATTCTATGATGCATATGTATCCACAATGTTTTATACAATAACACTGCCAATGTTAGTAAAAGTGTCATTCTGCTAAGCACCTTCTCAATCCCTTAAAATTTAGACCAAAATTTAAAATTGTTTTACTCAGCCATTCTCTCTACGTAAGACTTCTTTCTCAAATTTATATACAAAGAAACTATCACTTCTAATCCACAAAACAACTAAAAAAGTCCCTGAAAAAACAAAGTAATGAAGACATGCTAAATATATTATTTAAATACATTATCTAAAAAATCTGATATGATCATACCTAGTTGTTCCCGAAGATCTTCATTTTCATCAAGAAGATCATTGATTTTAAATGCAAGTTTATTAACTTCTTTAATTAATGTTTCAATTTCACTATTTCTTATTTTGAGTTGCTTTTTTAAACCTTTTATTTCAGCAACAGCATCTTCCAGGCCATATATTCCCTTGGAAAAGAAAAGATTAAAAAATATTATCAATCTAATATCAAAAATACATATAAAACATATAATAAAATAACTGGGAAACTGGAATTATGACCTTAAATCCATTAATTATCTTTCAAACTCAGTTTTAGTATATTTTTCAGCCAGCAACTAAAATATGGAAGGAGATATAAAGAGAAAACTTCCAGGACAAAGAGTCTTCCTTTGCCTGCTTATTTGCACATTCATTAAATGCAAAAGTAACAAACTAAAAATAGATGAATGTAGATTGTGTATGTGCATGACTGTAAGAGAAGTGATGGTTTGCAAGTTGTAACTGCATGAATAGTAAAATGAAATTAGTGAATTAATTAGCATGTGCAAGAATAATAGATAAAGATTGGGTACAGAAAACAAAGAGAGAGAGAGAATAGCATAAGAAAATTATGTTCCTCAACTTTTGATTCTGGCCCAATACTTCCCCAGCTCCTGTCCCATCAGATGCTGGTATACATTTCCCCATACTGGTGAGGGAACCCCTCTCTCAGCTTTAAGAAAATTGATTGTTTCTGCCTGGAAGATGTTTTCTCCAATCAAAAGACATACAGTTTCATAATCTTTCACTCGCTTCAGAGTTTCAATAAGTTCTTTGTCTTTTTCTCTTGCATCTGCTTCTGCAAGTTCTGCTGTCCTTTCACTATCCTTGACTTTCTCTTCCAGCATCTGTAACTTTCCTTGCATTTCCCCAAAAAGATCCTGTTGACTAATCGATAGCCGGCCTGAAATAAAAATAAATGTTTAATTAGTTAATATTCCTATAGAAAGGAAAGGAAACCTATATTCAATATGTGATATTAAAAGTAAAAATATAGAGGAAAATGAACAACCACTAAATTCTTTAAAAAAAAAAAATCAGCTTCCCTTTCACTATAAAAATTTAATCCAAGGGAGTCAGAGACATAAAATCCAGGCTTACAAATTAAATAAAGTAGCAACAACTCCTGAAAAACTTTGATAAGTGGCCAGTAAAGTATTTCAATAGAAAGTTGAAAATATCTTATTATCGTGTTTCCTCGAAAATACGACCTATCCTGAAACTAAGGCCTTGCCACATTTTTCTGGTGGGAAAAATATAAGTCCTCCCCCGCAAATAAGCCCCCTGGACAACCCCCTACCTCTGTCCAGTCAGAGCGCCGCTCACCAACCTAGCGGTATCCCGAAGGTGCCAAGCCGAAGGTGATCGCGTTGCTTGGCGCCTTTGGGATACCCTAGGTTGGTGAGTGGCTCTACCCAGCTGAAGAGGGGGGGTTCCGGGCGGCTGCTCTCTTGCGAGCCGGCTCCCAAAGAGCCGGGCACAGCCTCAGGGGCGAACAGCTGTGTTGCCCTGTCGCAACAGCGCAGCACAGCAGCCTTGAAGCGACCACGCTTATGAGCAGCCACCCGGCAAACCCCCTTTCAAGCCGGGCACAGTGCCATTCACTGACCTAGGGGTATCATCAAGCTGCATGACCGCCTGTTCGCCACTGCCTGACTCTTGCGGCTTGGTGCCTTCAAAATGCCAGTGAATGGCGCTCTGTGCAGCTGGACAGGGGGGTTGCGTGAGCAGCTCTTCCGTTCCCACGCTTCCCAGCCTCATGATGCCCTAGCCCAGCTCTCCCTGCAGAGCCAGAGCACCTCCGCTGCTGCCATTGCCGCTGCCATCCCAGCATGGCTCTTTTCGGCAGCTTCCAAACTGAGTTTTCTGGCAGTGGCCACTCTGAATGTATGCTCTATGGTTGGGGGCCAACTGCTGGCAGAGCGTACTCCCAGAGCGTACAACCATAGAGCGTATGCCAAGAGCGGCCAATGCCAGAAGACTTGGTTTGGAAGCCGCCAAAAAAGCCATGCTGGGATGGTGGCTGCAGTGGCGGCAGCAGTGGAGGCGCCCTGGTTCTGCAGGGAGAGCTGGGCCAGAGCACCATGAGGCTGGAAGGCGCGTGAGCGGGAGCAGAACAGCTGCTCACGCAACCCCCCTCTCCAGCTGTGCAGAGCGCCATTCACTGGCATTTCAAAGGTGCCAAGCCACGAGGGTTGGGCGGTGGCGAACAGGTGCTCACACTGCTTGGCGATACCCCTAGGCCAGTGAATGGCACTGTGCCCGGCTTGAAAGGGGGTTTGCCAGGTGGCTGCTTGTGAGCGTGTTCGCTTCATGGCTGCTGTGCTGTGCTGCTGAGACAGCGCAACACAGCCGTTCGCCTCTGAGGTTGTGCCCGGCTCTTTGGGAGCCCGCTCGCAAGAGAGCAGCCACCTGGCAATCCCAAAAGAATAAGCCCTCCCCTGATAATAAGGCCCAAGCCATATTTTGTGGGTGAAAAATAAGACCCTGTCTTATTTTCAGGGAAACACGGTATATATATTTGCTTGTGAAACAAGAGAATGAGTAAATTATCTTGAAATACGTCCCTAAATGCATTATTAGGGTATATACTCTGAAAGAAATCATCCTTTCTTCTGAACAAATAATTTCAAACCCCACCTAATATTACTTATTGTTAAGTGTCAGCATATGAACTGATTATCAATGTGCTACTTTCCTTTTTAACTTACATTTATGGCTATAATCAGACATTGTAAATTCAAGCAATACTTTATTGTTTACCTATTGACATTAGTACAGAAACACTTTCAAATATTTACTTTTATCTTTCTGGAGTTCTCTTTTCATATCCTCAATGATCAATACATTTTTCTCCATCTCCTTTGTATATTGTTCAATCTGTTCAGTGAGCAATTTGATCTGACTGTCTCTTTCTTGCACACCCTAAAAAGAGTTTTTTTACTTAATAAATAATACTTGGAACATGCTCTTAAAGTACACCAAAATGATCAACAGAAAGAAAAAAAGTACTTACAACACAGAGTTCAGATATTATCTAGAAGGATAAGCATAGGGAGCAAAAAATAAAAATAAAGCAGAGAAATAAAAATAAAATAAACAGCTTATAAGTTTATGACGTCAGCTAAATTAAACACAGCTAAATGCTATCTCTCAAATGATTTCATTTTCTTCTAAATAGACATGAGGTACATATACCGATATTTCAGATTATCATAAATTTAGGATAAACTAATGCATTAATTATTTGTACATGATGTCTACCATGAGCTCCCCTATAGGCAAGTAGACTGCTACAGGAAGAAGACCTGGCATGAGCTTGAAGGGGAGTGGGCAAGAATTAGAAACATATCATTAGAAGAGTCAAAGGGGAACAACCAAATAATCTTTGTTGAGGTCATGCAATTAAACTGCTCCTCCTTACTCAAAAAGGAATTATGCAATTCTCCATTCTCCCACCCCACTCCATCTCAAAATTTTAAAATAGACTGCATTAAGGAAGCAATTAACTTCCCAAACATATAATAACCTCCTCATCAAACATTTCTGTTCCTTCAGCTTCACCTTCAAATCAACTATGTTAAGAGATTTTAAAATTCATATATTACATTTTATGGGAGAAAATGATTAAAAATAATGAATTTAATGGTAAAATATTCAAAATGTTGCATAGATAAATACAGCTCTCTAAAATAGTTTTCTAGATATGGCCATACAAAAGTGGGTTGTGAAGATAATTACTGCATTATATTTTCCAGTAATGTACATATTTATTTCACAAATGTGTGGATACAAACGTGTGGATACCTGCTGGAGGGCAAGAACATTGCTCTTGTCAGAATCCAACTGGGCCATTTTCAGCTTCTCTTTCAGAGTCAACAACATTTCCTGATATTCAATTATTTCATCATCTTTGGAAGCCAAAATTCTCTGTAAGATAAAAGGAGACAAAAAGAATCTTAATTATGACAAAACAGAAAACAAATCGCTAAAACGCCATTAATGTTTGTTGTGAAATACCTTCCACTCCTCCACTTTTTCATTTACAGCTATCATAAGTGGATCATCCTCTTCATTCTTTGCTTTAAGTTGGTCTGTCAGCTCATGCACCTGCATAATATAATTCATAATATAAGCTATTGACAGACTAATTACCAATGGGAATTTTGCAGTATACATAATTGAAAACTAGTTGCTTTCTTAAGATTTACATGTAAAAGATACGGATATCAATGGATAAGGCCATGGCACATGTATTGCAAATGAACTTCAAATTTGGTACTATTTAGCACTCCTAAAATCAAATTTGTGTATCTGCTTCCTCGTATGCAAGGTGCCTCATACCTGTAGTCTATATTGCTCTTTTTCCTTTCTTAGCTGGTCCATGGCAATATCAGACTGTTGCACCATAAATTTCATTTTATTGTATTCATCAGTCATATTCTCCATTTCTTGCACAGATTCTTCTAAATTCTTCCTCATTTCCTTGTTTTGTCCTTCTAACTTTTCATTAGCTTCTGTCAAATTCTACAAATGTAAAACAGACATATTTCCATGAAATGTATGTTTTGATATAAGAAGCAATTCTTAAATTGATCAAGCTACATTAAATTGTCCCCTAAGAAAGTCTAGAAGATAACAATACTATAATAAGTTTGATAATCAGCAAAGTTCTTAAATGCAGGGACATCCAACGATAAAACAAATTGTTACAATTAGTTCATGGAACATATGGGTTTTGGCATGTTTGAGGGTACCTGAAAACATATATTTTCATTAACATGATGGACTTATGCTCTATGCTCTAACAACCAAGCCTTTTATTTTATATTAAACTTTCTTCTTAGTTGCCCAATCACTAGTTTAATTTTGATTGTACTAAATTGGCAGGACTTTTCTTACTAGATTTGGTCATGATTTATGCTACTGACTTCCCTGAAGATATTTACACCCCTTTATTCCCCTTACAGATATTTCACTACTCTTTATTTTAAAAAAAATTAATAATTCATATATGCCATATTTTGTTCTACTGTGTAACTCTTTGAAATTTACCTGAATTTCGTCTAGGTATTGAACAAGCTCAAAATTCTTTTTTGATAACTGTGATCTGTAATCTGAGTCTTCTCCTCTTCTTGATAGAAGTGTTTCCTTTTGTGTTTCTAATTGTCTCTGATAGTCAATAACATCCTGATGAAGCTGCTCATTCTGCAGAAAAAGATAATTAAAATATGAAACTGCTGAAGAAAAGATATTAATGCTTTCTGAAACTGAGAAATATGCTAGTAGATCTAAGGAATTAGAAGTAATAAACCAGAGAGACTTCATTTCATTGGATATATTCAAGTGGAGGCTAGATTGTCACCCAAAATACTTTAATTTTTATTCATGCACCAAGTATGGCCAGGGACTTGATCTCATAATTGGCCCATTCACCTTTAAAGAATCTAATTTTAATTAAGTTATTAAACAAACTAATACACTGAACACAGAAACTAACACTAATCCTCACCTTTTTCTTCATTCTTGTTTTCTTAAAAAAAATAAGAGCAGAAGAAAAAAGAGGAAAATTTAAGAGACCAAACTTAGGAAGCAAAACAGAAAAGAGAAAAACATAAAGAAGTAATACAGCATTATCGTACCAAGCAAGCACATTAAGAATTTAACATTATATATCTTTATGATGAAGAAAATACATAAACTGAAGCAGAAATTACCTAGATTGAAATAATAATCCTGTCATCGCAGAAGATTTTAAACATTTGTTATGACTGAATTAAACTAAATTAAATGGCCTTTCTTCTAAGAAATTGGAAATCCTTAGTTCTAGTGTACATGGTACAGATGAGGAAAGATGGAAATAAGGAAGCACAATAACAATGGTAAATCCAAAATACACAAGGTGTAACAAATAAGTAGGCACCGGGTGCAAACAATTATTGTGTGTCAAATTGTTATATTGGCATACCAACCTCTCTTCTTAATTTGCTGTTTTCATTTTCTGTTTCTTCATTTCGAAGAGTAAGCTAGAATGACAAATTGGTTAGCTGAAACTATATAGTATGATCCTAATACAAGACATAAGTCTCTTTCTAGAAATATCGTCATTATTCATATTTGCAAA